CATCTTCTGGGTAGATAAAGTTTACTCCAAGAAAATATCTATTTCTTATAAACTATATAGAAAATGGGACAAAAGCGAGATTTGGAAATTTGTGATATCTGTGAAATTTTGGAAATCATGAAAATTTTGTTAATTTTTGAAATTCTTGAGATCTGAAACTTTTGAGATTCTTTTAATTTATGAAATTTCTGAAATTCTTGAAATTTTTGAAAATTTTGAAATTGTTTAAATATTGGAAATATTTTAAATTTTGGAAATTTCGGAAATTTTGGAAATTTTGGAGATTCTGGAAATTTTGGAAATGGAAATTTTGGAAGTATTTAAAATTTTGGAATATATGAAAATTTCCGAAAATTTGTAGTCATGAAAATTTTGGAAATTTTGAAAACTGAAAATTCTATAAATTCCGTAAATTATGAATATTATGAACATTTTTAAATTGCTGGAAATTTTGGAACATTAGAATTTTGTAAATTTTGGTAAAAATTGAAATATTGGAGATTTTGAAAATTTTCTACTTTTTTGAAATCATTTACTTATTATGCTTCATTAAGTACTTATACAAAATTTTATTAAAATAAAACCATTTAAACTGGGTGTTCGGATTTATATATCACTTAGTATATCTTGGAGCCGATGGTTCCTTAAGGCGACATAGATTTAAAAGCTCGAGTTTGAAAGCATCATAATCAAAATGTATCATTTTGTCTTAGAGCCATTGCTTCAATTGCATTTTACTCCAACTGGAATTGAGCGTTTTTTCTCTTACGGCACTATGATAAGAGGCTTGTACATACAGGTTATTCATATAGTGTCTCATAAAATAGATTCATTGGGAAACAATGTCTGATTTTTACACAAAGGAACATTCGTCGGAAAAGCAAGTGTTGAATAGAAAATGTTCATCTTTTATAATTCGTTCACTCATATCTTCACAAAATTGTAATCGCCGATCAGAATCGTCTTCATTAAGTTACTGTTCTTATGTGTTGTTCTATTAGCGCACTGATTATTTCCGAAAAATATTTCGATAATTTCAACTCTTTCTGCTGTGGAATATACCATGGTTAATTTATGTAATAAA